CCTCATCCTTGATAACAATGTTCCCCCTTACATCCAGTAAAGGATGGAGAGTCTCCCTAGCTCTTTTTTTGTAATTAATATATTTGTAAAAACTCTTTTTGTTGTCTCTTGTAGTGGTGGCCAGGCTGAGTTCTAGTTGAGCTTTTGCCCCCCTAATGTTCTTTCTACACAACCTAACTAAATCCCTGTACTCTTCTTCAATAGCCTGCCCCTTCTTCCAAAGATGGTAGACTCTCCTCTTTCTCCTAAGTTCTGCCAGAAGCTCCCCATTTAGCCAGGCTGGTCATTTTCCCTGCTGGTTCGTCTTACGGCACATGGGGACAGCCTGCTCCTGGGCCTTTAAGAGTTCCTTCTTGAAAAGAGTCCAGTCTTCCTGGATCCCCTTGCCCTCTAGGACTGTACTCCAAGGGACTTTCTCAACCAGTGTTCTAAACAGGTTGAAGTCTGCCCTTTGGAATTCCATGGTAATAGTCTTGGTCAAGAATTGAAAAATCTATCATTTCATGGTCGCTAAGCCCAAGAAGGCCTCCAACCACCACATTATCCACCAGTCCCTCTCTGTTTGTGAGCAACAAGTCCAGCAAGGCACCTCCCCTGGTGGGCTCACTTACCAGCTGAGTCAGGAAGTTGTCTTCCACACAGTCCAGGAACCTCGTGGACTGTTTCCTGTCTGCTGTGTTATATTTCCAGCAGATGTCTGGCAAGTTGAGATCTCCCACAAGAACAAGGTCCTGCGATTTTGCGGCTTCTGCCAGTTGCCCATAGAATAATTCATCAACCTCTTCATCCTGGTTGGGTGGTCTATAACAGACCCCAAGCAGGACATCTACCTTGTTGGCCTTCTTCAACTTTACCCATAAACATTCAACTGGTCCATCACACTTATTAACTTCCATGCATTCAAAACACTCTCTAACAGAGAGCCACACCACTGCCCTTTCAACGGGTGCAAGCTGGAGCATAGGGGATTCCACAAAAACATTAGAAAAAAGCTTTTTCCCTGTGAGGGTGACAGAGCACTGGAACAGGCTGCCCAGAGAGGTTGTGGAGTCTCCTTCTATGGAGACTTTCAAAACTCACCTGGACACGTTCCTGTGTGACCTGCTCTAGCTGATTCTGCTCTGGCAGGGGGGTTGGACTAGATGATCTTTCGAGGTCCCTTCCAATCCCTAACATTCTGTGATTCTCTAATGCAGAGAATTTAAAGAAGGTAAAAAGCACTTGGGAGCAGGGCAAAGAGAAGAGAGTGAGGGAACATGTCACCTTGACTCTTTCTTTCACCTCTTCCTTTTTTAAAAAATTTTTCATTTTTCATGGAACATAATATTTCTGACCTCTATTCTACAGAGGGCTGTGGATTAGTATGAAATGCAGGACAAAATTTTAAAATTAGCATTGCACTCCTGGCAGACGGTTGCCTGAGGCAAACACAGCTCCTCTCCTGCCGATCACCACAGTGCCAGACATGTGCTCTTAGGAAATGATCAGGTACAGAGACTGAAGGCCACAAGTACACTGAGGCAGAACAGCACCGATGGAGCCTTCCTTCATTGGCCAGTAGCCGTCATGAAATGTATTAAAAGAAGTGAACTATAGAGCCAGCAATGAAGGGAAGCTGTACAGTGACTTAAATCAAGTGTCTTATGGAATAGGGCCATGCTAATGAGGCAGAAGCACTGTGCTGCCTAAAGAACTGGAAATATTTTATCTTCATAAAACAGAGTACATTCGTGGGACCTGGGTAATTAACGACGCAGGAAAAGATACTCTGGCTGTGGCTATTTGCTAAATAGGAAAGGGCCAAGGGCCAGTTTCTGACTTAAAGGCCAAATAGTGTAGACTGGCTGTTGTCTGCACCACTGTGGCATGGCTCCAGAAAGAGCACAGGGGCTCCTATGAGTCCTATATGGTGAGACATACAGCTCTGATGCAATGTCACCTTACCTGGGGGTTTTTTTTTTGTTTTTTTTGGGTTTTTTTTCCAGTTGATAGCATCTGAAACAATGAGGGCTATGTGACAGCCCAACAGAGCCTTCTAGTATGCTGCTGTCATATCACAACCATCTAAGTTTTTCTCAGTGAAGGTGGCAAGGCAGAGGAGGCGCAGCATTAAACATTCTTGTTTGATATTGATATGTGCATTGAGATGTTCCCTTGATTTTGTCTTGTCTTTAAATCTGCAAGCTAATCCTGGATGCAAAACTGAGGATTGTGTTGCATCTCTTGGATGTAACAGGAAGGTATGAGAGGGTCCCTGAGGGTTTGAAACATCTGAGGATAACGCTGGGAAACTGAAGGAGATAAATATGGTGCTGTCTTATCTATCCTGCCTTATGGGAGAGCTCTCTGAAAGGACCTATCTTCATAAATGTGTGCATGTACTGGAATAGAAAATGTTTGTGGAAGTACTCAAAAACAGAGGCAGAGCGTAAGCTAAAAAATAAGCAATGCAATTTATCAGGAGTCCAGTTCTTGAGCTCTCTCTCTGATCCTTTCTTATGAACACAGATATATCCTTTGAGGACACTCACTTCTTATGCCTTTCAACATCTGTGATCCAAAGGGTCACACTCAACCACATATTGTTATTGTTGTTGTAATTGTCGTTGTTGTTGTTATTATTATTATTATTTATTTATTATTATTATTAAAATCTCCATGCTTACAGCAGACATCTTGATGAAATTAATGGACTCTTGAATATTAGTGCAAATTATTGCAAGTAATTGCTGTATGACTGGAACCAGTCAGACAGATGAAGAGCCTAGTTTTCCTTTACGTTTTTCCACTGACCGTATTTTCTTGCATCTGTGTGGGGATGTGCCTGGTCTCCAGCATTTGCATTCACCTTACTCTGTGAGTTGTTAACTCATTTGTATGGTGCGTATCATGGTGCTCCTTATAAATCATAGTGTTTCTGCTACTTCCTTTTTTTTGAGGGTTGCTAAGATTTCCTTTCAGATATCCTTTTCCTTCCTCCCTTCTGCCATCTTTCAAGAGAATGAAGCAGTGGTGAAAGTCCTTCCTGTATGTGTTGCCCGATCTAGTTGAGAGGTGTTGCTGCCCACGACAGGGAGGTTGGATTAAATGATCTCTAAGGTCTCTTCCAGCCCAGGCCATTCTATGATTCTATGTTTGCTGTTTTAAAATATTTCTCTGCAAAGAACACGTGCATGTGTGTGTGTACATGAGTATGGACATGTGTGTGTGAGAGAAGAAATTTTGGCACAAAGACACAAGCTGTGCTTGTTCTCCTTTCTCCCTGCTTCTTGCAGTTTATGAGTTTCTACACACCAGGAATGCATTTTCTTCTTCAAACTAACTGTGGTGAAAAAGATGTTGCAGGAAACACAGCCTGACAGCATCCAGTTATCACTCTTTAAAGGCTCTGATATCATGGCACACCAACATTGAGCATTAATGTCATCTAGGCTTTATGTCCAGCTTTAGTTTAGTAGTTACTTAAGTAAATATTAAAACACAAGGTCAAAGAAATCTCAGTGTAGACACTAGAATCAAAAAGAATGTTTCCTGTTGTGTCTGCTTAACCTTTCTGTCCTTCCTCTGAGAAAAATGTAAATGGATGTGACATAGGCATTTTATGGCAGTAAAAGAGTGCACTAGCAGAAATCAGAACACACAAAATAATATAGCTCATTCTTGAGCCATTGTTGAGATCTAGATAAAACACAGTAAAATCTGCCTAGTAGAAGCTGGTCTGCATGTAGCAGCACTTGTCCAGCTTTTCATCAGAATTGATGAATCTGAACTGTCTTCCCCACATATACCTTCAAGCCAACAAAAATCAGTATTCCCAATGAATTTCTTTTTTCCATCCATGTAAGCCAAGAAATTTACAATAAGGTTGTAGCTGAGTAGCAGGTAGCTTATTACCTCCCTTTTCAAGTGGGGAATGGGAGATATGGTGAGATGAAGTGGCTTACCAGAAGGTTACTGTGTCCTCATACTCTGAATAGAATTTAAAAACACAGCTTTTAAACCTGACTCAGAGACTGAAATTCCATGTAATTTCAGGTATAAATAAAACTTCTCTATCAGCAAAATTAGAACTTATTAGTACCTATCTCTCAGCCAATATTTAATTCATCAGACACAAAGGGAAAGTAAGTCTTCCTAGGGGAAACATGGAATAATTTTGAAATACTTTTGTAGTAAAGCCTATCATTTGGCTGAGAGTTTTCCACCACACAGGCCCACAATTGAGCTTGCAGCAACTCGTTCAGGTTTGAGCTTCATGCACTCACCAAGGTTTTCCTAGTTTACACACAGTTTTACCAATAGCATCATATAGCTAAGACCTCTGTCACGTTGCCTACAGACTCTATTTGTTGTATTCTGTACTAGGCATTTTCAGAAAAAAAAAAAAACAACAACAAAAAAGCAAGTTGCTTTTCTGGCCGAACAACAACCACATTTTTAAGTTCCTATTCTTTCCATATTCTGATATTATTTCTTGATATTTTATCTCACAAACATCTCTTCCTAATTTCTACTCTTACTTTTAAAGGCTTTATATTAGTCCCATGCACAAAAAGTAAAGCATTTTAAAAACACTTGAGCAAGTGCTATGTTTAGTTTTGGGTGCTGCAGTATAAGAAAGATATCGAGGTGATGGAGCGGGTCCAGAGAAGGGCAACAAAGCTGGTGAGGGCTGTGAAGAACAAGTCTCAGGAGGAGAAGCTCAGGGAACTGTGGTTGTTTAGTCTGGAGAAGGATGAGGGAAGACCTTATCAATCTCTACAACTACCTGAAAGGAGGTTATGGTGAGGTGGATGGTGGTCTTTTCTCATAAGTAACTAGCAATAGGACAAGAGGAAATGGACTCAAGTTGCGCCAGAGGAGGTTTAGACTGGACATTAGGGAAAGTTTCCTCACTGAAAGAGAGGTGAAGTACTGGAACAGGCTGTCCAGGGAAGTGGTGGAGTCACCATCCCTGGAGCTGTTAAAAAAACATGTAGACATGTCACTTCAGGATGTGGTTTAGTGGTCATGGTAGGGTTGGGTTGACAGTTGGACTAGATCTTAGAGGTCTTTTCCAACCTTGATGATTTTATGATTCTATGACTTATTTTTAAAACACAGAAGTCTGCACAAAGAAATTTTTCTTTCACTTTATATCAAAACGTCACAATTCTTTTAGTTTAGATTTGTTTTTTTTTTTCTTGGCAGTCTTGCATGTTTTGGATTCTTCCTTATTTTGCACTAAGCTGTTCTTTGAAAAGGTTCAGCTGGGGAAATTCATTTCTCTCAAGACCCAATCAGGTTTTTACATCAATTAGGCTAATTGACAGAGGTTTAACATATTTCTTAATTATGACTGCAAATACGTTCTTGGAAGAAACCCCAAACCACAGGACTAAAAAAAAAAAAAGAAAATCAAAAAAAGGCAAACCTATTTCCTAGCAAAATAATTTTGGAAACTTTTTAAAGATAAAAAAACATAAAGGAAGTTTATGAACAGTTATCTCACCACGGCTGAAACTGCTCTCAGCCAAGAAGAACATGACACACCAAATGATCCCCCTATGACTGATCATGAAATAAATAATCACAGGGTAAGAGAGAGTATAAATGCATATAAAGGACATATGTGAAGACAGAAAATACATAACTAGCCACCAAACTACCAAAACCACCAAAACAAAACAAAATTTTCAATTCTGGAATGACCTACTGGATTTTTTCCTGATTTTATAACAGGACATCTGAAATAGTTTGTGCTTATTCACGTTAGCTGTCTTAATAATTTTTTAACTTAGGCTAAACCTCATTAAGCTAAACCTCCTAAACCAGTTAACAATTGAGCTTAAGAGACAGCTTACACTATAATATGATACTGTATGCTAAAGAATATTTATCTTCTGTTTTAGGTTCTAGACATTTATGTTAATAGGAATGACAGGATGTTCCTGAAATGTAAAGAACGCCTTTT